GCCATCAGAAGAGAACTTAACCAAGCTCCCTGTTAGGGGCTGAATTGTGCCCCCCCCCCCAAATTCACACGTTGACCTCCTGACCCCAGGACCTCAGAATGCTACTGTATTTGGGATGGAGTCTTCAAAGGGGTGAGTACGTTAAAATGAGGTCCTGGGAGAGCCCCAGTTCAGTGTGACCGGTGTCCTGATTAGCGAGGAGGATGCCATGTGAGGACACAGAGAAGACAGGTGACCACACGCCAAGGAGAGGGCCTCAGGGACAGGCAGCCTGGCCGGCACCTTCAGGCCAGACTTGCAGCCTCCAGGGCTGGGAGACCAGGATTGCGCCAATCCGCCCAGGCTGCGGCTCTGTCACCCAGCTCCAGGCCAATCGACCCCCGCGACGCCTGTCCCCTCTGCACCCGGCCCTGCGCTTGCTGCCGCTCCCGTGAGACGGAACAATGAATTTCTTCTGCCCCTTTAGAAAACCAGCAGGGGCGCCTGGGGGGCTCAGTCAGTTCAGCATCCAACTTCGGCTCAGGTCATGATCTCTGGGTTTGTGAGTTCGAGCCCCGCGTCGGGCTCTGTGCTGACAGCTCGGAGCCTGGAGCCTGCTTTGGATGCTGTGTCTCTCTATGACCCTCCCCCACTCACGCTCTGTCTCTGTCTCAAAAATGAATAAACATTAAAAAAAGTAAATAAAAAAGAAAACAAGCAAATACACATACCACTGGTGAGTTCTGATCAGTGTGACATAACGGATGTTTTTAAACCTAGCTGTACTCTTCATGGGTTTAGAACTGTTTTCCTGAGAGAAAACTCTGCTCTCCCTGGAGGAGCCCTCCACCTCTCCTGGGATGATCGGCCGTCAGGTGGGTGTGTCATTCTCCTCAGTTTCCTCCAAACGACACCAACTTCGATCAGCTGGTTGTTTGACGGTAGTTCTGTACGGAAAACCTTCCCTTTAGGTGCTTCCCCAACTTCGCCAGCTCCCATGGGATGCTAGAGCGAGGAGCTGCTCTACACGGGGAGGGAAGACGGCTCTGATCTGCATCATTTGCTGACTTCCATGGTGGAAAAGCGCCACCCGGGCGGTTTCCGGCTGCCAGCGGGAGGTCACCGAAGGAGGGCGCGTGGCTGTAGATGTAAGTAACCTTCAGAGCCCAGCTGACAGTAAAGTGCGGTAAAGGGTTAGGACATGGCAAACTTGGAGCTTTTGCTACCTTTCAAAAATATGATTTAATTGGGGCGCCTGGGTGGCTCAGTCAGTTGAATGGCTGATTCTTGGTTTCGGCTCAGATTATGGTCTCAGGGCTGCGGGATCGAGCCCCATGTTGGGCTCTGTGCTGACAAGTGTGAAGCCCGCTTGGGATTCTCTCTCTCCCTCTCTCTGCACCTCTCCCCTGCTTGCACTCTCCCTGTCTTTCTCTCAAAAAACTTTGAGTGTAAGTTGATATAATTTAACTTGAAATGATGGCCGTTTAACAAATGACTAAAACCTAACAACCAGCTTTTGAGAGCTGAGAACTGGTCTTCATCGCACCACGAGCTGGTTATCATTCAGCAAAACACTAAGGTCCATGTGTTTCTTCAGAGAGTCTAAATTTTTTACTTTGATCATGCTGGGTCATCAGAGAAGTTCTATTTGGACCAAATAATTCCTTTCGGCCGAACCACATCGGAAGCCCCTGTGTTACAAGAACCTCCTAGTCCATGAAGCAGAGACTCTGCCCCACAGAAGAAGCTGGAAGCATCGCACACTCACTTCCTCTGCAGCCACGTGCAGGCACGTGACCCAGGCTCTGCCAACTGGAGACGCCCGCTGCAGTGACATGAAGGGGGGGGTCCCTGTGGGGTCCATCGTGCAAATGGCAACTCGGGTCCAGATCCCGCAAGTCTTAGCAACGAGCGCAATCATCTCTCTGCAGCCTCTGCACGCCTTCTGCCACTCTTTCTCTGCCCTTCCTTCTGGAAGTTTTCCCTCCACCCCTTTCCTCTGTTGCCCTACCACATGTTTGTATCCCTAAATAGTATCTTGTTTTGCATGGTTTGGACTTCGTATAAATTCATATAAATGGAATCATGCTGTGTGCCCTGTTCTGACTTTCTTTTGCTCAACACTGTTTCAGAGATTCGTCCCGACTGTTGCTTGCAGCCGTAGTTCGTCGATTCTTCACCCCAGGGCGTTATTCCATTGCATGAACATATCATAGTTTCTTTACCCATCCCACTGCGGAGGGAGAGCTGGGCTGTTTCTAGACTTTTCCTCGTTCGTCTTTTGCTTATTTGGCTAAGGGAAAAAACCTCCACCTCGGACAGAGGCTGGAAGGGATACAAGTTACATCTGAATGTTGCTTGGCTTGGTTTCATGTAGGGCATAAGGAGGTTAAAAAACTTGGTCTCTGTCCCTTTGTATCTCAAAACTTTGATTTCACTGTGACCAAGAGAATCGAAACAAGGGCTAGTGAAGCGACGGGAATTTCTGGAACGTCAGCAGTTTCAAAGACACTGCGAGGCAGTGAAACCAGAGCGCAGAGCAACGAGCAGTGCCCTCAGGCATGGACATCTGAGCCGTAACGCTGGAAACGCTAGCGACCCCACACAACTATTTACCTCGGGAAGGAAATCTGAAGAAGTACTGAGGTGTGAAGGAGTCTTTGGGAAATTTCTCGGGGCAACCAACCTACTGACCGATATTTCTCAGGGGTCTACTTTGTACAAGGGCTTCTATTAGGTATTGAAGGGAGCACACCAACATTTACAAGAAAAGGTGCCCTAGACCTCAAAGAGCTTAGATGTTGACTGAAGACAGACACAAATACCAGGACATATGGGCTGAGGGTCAAATGAATGGCCAGGAATATAACCCCTGTAAGTGTTCTGTTTCACCCCTGGATTGCAAGCTCTGTGGGAGCAGGGACTGAAGCAGTCTTCTTTCCCCCCACGAAGAGACTGGAATTGTCCGGAAAGACTTTGTGGAGAAGGCAGGCCTTGGTGTGAACCCTGAAGGGAGGCAGCGTCAATTCTGAACAGGAAGAAAGAGGTTATGGAACAGGTAAAGGGGCTGGGCCTTGGCACTGGGGTCGGAGAGAGGAGAGAGCCAGGCTGCAGCAAAGAGCTGTTCAGCTAACGAAGTCGGGGGAGGGGGGCGCAAAAGTCGAGGCCTTGAATGCCACGTTAAGGAGTTTAATTTTATTTTACAGTTAGTGAGAATAACTGCACTGCAGTGCTTTGAGCAGGGGAGAAAAAAACCCTGTGTTTTGGGGAGATGTATGTTCTAGAGGGATGCAGAAAAGAGTGGCAGATAGGATGACGGACTAACTGGACCCCCTGTCACCAGCTTAGTTGGGGGTTATTTGCGCAGTGGCAGTTGGAGGTTGCCAAGGGGTGGTAGGAAGGGACAAGCCCCAAGGCCCAAGCACTTTTCGGGAGCCTCATATTTTCTTCTGTCCTTTTGGACAAAGCAAGTCACACGTTGAGCACCAGGTTCAAAGGAGTGGAAAATACATACACTTCTTGATGGAAGGAGGGGCAAAGCCACAAGCAAAGGGGTGAACCTACAGGGAAGAGTGAGCTTCTGGCCAGTTTTGGAGTTTCCTACCCCAGGCTAAGGGCTAAAGAAAACAGAAAGGTCTAGATGCTTGGAGAGCTGGGTTAGAAAGAGTAGAAATGCACACATCCGTTGGAACACGTCTAAATGCCACACATCTTAAAATATCATCTGCCTACCTTCTGGTTTGGAGAGATTAATCCAGATATTATGCAGATCAGTTCAGGCAGGTGTTTCACCCAGCTCCCAGAACCTGGGTGTCTAGAAAAACAGACTCAGATACTTTGTCTTTCCCTGGTTCTTTTGGGCCCTGAGCCATTTTCAAAATAAAAGTGAACACTGCGTGTAACCGGCTGGAAGTTTTCCTGGGTTCTTATCAGCCTGTGTCAGCCGGCGAACTCTCTCAGAACAAACCTCATGGCCCCCCTGGTTTCTACCAACACTTTCCAGCACGGGCATCAGGGGCACAGTACGGGGGGCTGACAAGCTTTCTGCAGACCATAAAAAAAAAAAAAAAAAAAAAAAGCTTTTGAGTCATGACAAAAATTTCAACTCAAACTAGCAAAAGATACTGAAAAATCTAACTTCACATACATCATTAAGAGAGTTTGAAAGCAATTTCCAGATTTTCTTGCTTCCTTGGAATTCTCAGTTAGAGATGCCAAGAAGATCGCACAGACCACAGCAATTGAAATGACTTCTTTATAGCCAAATAAATCCCAAGGGAAAATGACTAAGTATTGCTTCAAACTCCGCTTCATGGCAAAAATGCAAAAAAAGATACGTAATGTAGGCTGGGGATGAATTACTGTGTTTGCTGTGTTCGGAGGTCTCTAAAATAAGCACGCTGCCGACGGTGCTGGGAAGGTCGTACGATAAAGCCCAGGGACAGGGAGGGGCCCCGTTCAAGGCTATCTTCGTTCTCCAGGAGGGGAAGCCCGAACCTCCGCAGCCCACGCCCCGCATCACATCCACACAAGCCAGGTTCCCAGGGTTCCGCCCCGAACGTGTCCTAAGCAACTCCTCGCCGGCCTTCCACCTACTCTGGCCGAGCGCACGCCTCTGCGGGGCCCTGCCCAGGTGCCCTGCAGGCCGAGCGGGGGCCGGGGGCCGGGGAGGCACCACCAGGAGCTGCCACGTGATCACTCCCGCCGGGAACACGCGCACGGAGGCTGGGGCCAGCCGCCCACGTGTCACTCACCCCTAAAGGAGGAGGAACCCGCGGCCGCACTCCCACCCGCGTCGCGTCCGCGCGGGGCTCGGGACTGGTCCAGGCGGCCGAGCGCCGGCCTCCGGGAGGCGTGGCCCCGCCCCCCGCCCCGCACGGCCCGCCCCTCAGCGGCTCCCGTTCGCAGACGCGGCGGCGCGCTCCTCTGACGCAGGGCGCCTTCTTCTGACGTCAGGTCCCGCCCCCGCCCCGCCCCGCGCCCGCCCTCTGCAGCCCGAGCGGCTTCGGCTGAGGCGGCGGCGGCGGCGGCTTGGGGCGGCAGCTGAGGCGGCCGAGGCGGCGGCGGGGGTCGTGGTCGCCGGCCCCGCGGCGGCCCGCTGTCAGCCCGCTCCCGTCCCGGGCCGGCGGGCGATGGTGCGGCGGAGCGCGCGGACGCGGGCGGCGCGGCGGCGGGCATGAGGGAGGATGGAAGGGCAGGACGAGGTGTCGGCGCGGGAGCAGCACTTCCACAGCCAAGTGCGGGAGTCCACGGTGAGCCGGCCCGCGCCCCGCCCTCCGCCGCCCCGCCCCCCGGCCGCGCCCCGCGCCCCCCGCTCCGCGCCCCGCCGCGAGCGCAGACAGGTGTGCGTGCAGGTGCCTGTGCGGCCGCTCCCGGCGCCCCGCGTCCCGGCCCCGTGCGCTCCGCCCCGCCCGGCGCCGTCCGTTGTGCGGGGACCCCCGCGACCGAGGCCCTCGCGGGCCCGAGCCCGAGTCCATTGTGCTCTGCGGGCAACTTCTGCTGGCGGACGCCCTGTTTTGGGACCGGGAAGCGGGCTCGGCCCCAAATGGGCTTGGATGGGTCTCCCTTCGCGTCGCGCCGGCGCACGTCCGGAGGGGCTCGAGTCTCCCCAGCGGCCGCACGCCTGGGCCTCGGGATCTGGGTCACACGTCCCCTCCGACGAGCTTCCCCCGCGTCCGGCCGCCGCTCTTGCGCGGGGTGCAGGGAATCTGGTTCAGAATTGCCTGATTTGTGTCCTTATTGATCTTGAGAATTGAGAATCGCTTTGCCAAGTCATAACTCGCAATAAAAAGCGTTCGTTCCCGGTGCTGCTGTGGTGGGACCGTAGTGCAGCTGATTTTTATTTTATTTCATTGTTAAAGTTTTTTATTTACCTTTGAGAGACCGCAGGGGAGGGGCAGGGAGAGAGAGAGTCCCAAGCAGGCCCCGCGCCGCCCGCGCAGAGCCTGACGCGGGGCCGGGACTCAGCGCGAGGTCCTGACCGGAGCCGGAGCCAGTAGCCAGGAGTCGGGCGCTGCGTGGACTGAGCCCCCCGCCCCCCCAGTCTTACACGTCACGGGCGCTTCCGCAGTTTCACGTTTGGGCGCAGATCCTTCTGTCGATCCTTTCGGTGAGCGCGTGCGCACTGGGGGGCCGCGGGGATGGGCTGTGCGTGTGTCTTTAACGGGTTCCTTCCTACACGTTACCGGGGTGCTTGCACTTCACACCCCGCAGCCCCGCAGCTGCAGGGGCGCGTAGTGTGTAATGTCCTTTTTTAAGTTGAAGCCATTGGAGTAAGTGTCGTAATTGTTATTGCACAGCCGATTGTATTTGTATTTCCCTAATGATTTCGTGAATTTCAGTGCCCTTTCGTGTCTTCGTGGCTATTTGGAGCTCATGTGAAGCCTCTTCAAGTCTTTTCCGCAGTTTTGAAAAATCTTTATTTATTTTTGAGAAAGGGGGAGCAGGGGCAGAGAGAGAGGGAGACAGAATCTAGAGCAGGCTCCAATCCAGGCTGTGAGCTCTCAGCACAGATCAGACTCGGGGCTCGAACCCACGAACCGTGAGATCATGATCTGAGCCGAAGTCGGACACTTAGCGGACTGATTCCCCAGGGGCCCCAAGTCTTTTCCTCATTTTTAAAAAAAGTTTATTGTTTATTTTGGGAGAGTGTGCGTGCAGGTGGGGGAGGGGCAGAGGGGGAAGGGGCAGAGAGGGAAAGCGAGAGCCCGAAGCAGGCTCTGCACTGTCAGCACAGAACTTGCTGTGAAACCCATGGACTGTGAGATCATGACCTGAGCCAAAGTCTGACGCTTACCCAATCGAGCCACCCAGGCGCCCTGACCCAACATATATATCTTTTAATGTTTATTTATTTTTGAGGGGGAGGAGAGGCAGAAAGAGGGAGACACAGAATCCAAAGCAGGCTCCAGGCTCCCGGCTGTCAGCACGGAGCCAGACCCGAGGCTCCAACTCACAAACCCTGAGATCAAGCCCTGAGCCGAAGTCTGAGGCTTAATTGACTGAGCCACCCAGGCGCCCCTTTTCCCCATTTTAAATCAGTGTTTTAATCTTTTAAATATTGATTTGCAAGTTTTCTTTACATTTTTCTGGATACATACCTTGGTCAGATGTATATATTGCAATTTTTTTTTCATTTGTGGTTGCTTTGACACTCAATGATCTGATGACCAGAAATTCTTAATTTTAATACCAAATTTTTTTCTTTTGTGGTCAGTACTTTTTATGTCCTGTTTAAGAACTCTTTGCCTACTCCAAGGTTAGGAAGTTGTTCTCTTGTGTTTTCTCTAAATGCTTTATTGATTTACTCTTCCCATTTAGATCCGCAGTTTATCTGGAATTTATGTTTTGTGTGTGTTTTGAGGTAGGAGTCTTTTTCCCTCCCATACGGATGTCTAGTCACTTCACCATTTATGACCCGTGTCATGAATTAGGTAACTACAGTTGTGGGGTTTAATTTTGCCCACTCTCCTGTTCCATTGATCTCTGTTTGTTTTGGCTTTACTTTTTAATTAAATAGGTATTCTGTCATTTGGATTGATAGTAGCCGGGAGCTTTATTACCTCTGCTGCTCTGGAAACAACTCCGCTTTGGTGCCGAGTTTGAGGTTCCTTAGTCCTGCCCTTGCACGGCCCCCCTGCCTCTGGGGCCGCGGCCCTGGCTGGTGAGGGTGCCCCCCACCCTCTGCGGAGCGAGCGAGCACACGGGCTCTCCAGTCTTCGGCGTTCCTAGTGAATATACGTAGTGGAATTTTCTCTAGGACTTGTTGCCAGTTCTTTTCATTTTTTCACTCTGGTTTTGTCATGTATTGCTACAATTTTTACCTTTTTCTGTGATAAAATATACGTAGGATACAGTTTACCATTTTCGGGTGTCCGCTTCAGCCTCATTAAGTGCGTTCATGTTGTGCCGCCATCAGCACTGCCCATCTGTACAGCTGCCCATCATTACACACCTGCCCCCCTGGATTGTGAACCCCCCGTTCCTTTCTCCACCCAGCTCCTGGTGCCCACCCTCTACTTCCGGGCACGCCCTGTAAGTGGAGTCATACTGATCTGCCCTTTCGTGTGTGGCTGATTTCACTTAGCATAACGTTTTCAAGTTTCATGCATCTCATAACAGGTGTCACATTTTTTTCTTTGGAACGTTGGAGAATATTCATTTGTGTGAGCATATGACATTTTGTTATCTGTTCATTCATCCGTGGACATTTGGGTCATTTCCTGGCTTTTATAAATAGTGCTGCTATGAACATGGGTGTACAAATATCTCTTTGAGACCTTGCTTTCAGTTCTTTTAGCTGTGTGCACGCCCAGAAGTGGAATTGTGGGATCACGTGGTAATTCTGTGTTTAATTACTTGAGGAATCGCCCTACTGTTTTCCACAGTGTCTGCACCATTTCACATTCCCATCAGCAGTGCTCCAGGATTCCGTTTTTTAAAAGTTTACTTATTTATTTTGATAGAGAGAGAGAAAGAGAGAGAATGAGAATGAGTGGGTGAGGGGCCAAGAGAGGGAGAGAGAATCCCCAGCAGGCTCCATGCTGTCAGTGCAGAGCCCCATGTGAGGCTCAGACTCATGAACCGTGAGATCATGTATGACCAGAGCTGAAATCAAGAGTTGGATCCTTAACTGACTGAGCTACCCATGTGCCCTCCAGGCTTCCCTTTTCTCCATGGTCTCACTGATACGTGTTGTTTTCTGGGTTTTTTTTTTGGGGGGGGGGGTGTTTCTGTGTTTTTCTGTTTTTTACCAATACTTATCTTAATGAGTATACAGTGATATCTCGTCATGGTTTTTATTTGCATTTTCCTGATGATTAGTGATGTTGAACGTTATTTCATGTGCTTCCTGGCCATTTATATATCTTCTTTGGAGAAATACCTATTTGAGTCCTTTGCTCATTTTTTTTTTTTTAATATTTTTATTTTATTTCTAGGAGAGAGAGAGAGAGACAGCGTGAGCAGGGGAGGGTCAGAGAGAGAGGGAGTCATAGACCGAAGCAGGCTCCAGGCTCTGAGCTGGCAGTCAGCACAGAGCCCGATGCGGGGCTCGAACCCACGAACCGCGAGATCATGACCTAAGCGAAAGTCGGACGCTTAACCGACTAAGCCACCCAGGCGCCCCAGCTCATTTTTGAATTGTGTTGTTTTGTTGTTGAGTTTTAGTAGTTTTTTGTTTTGAGGGAGAAAGAGCAAGTGGTGAGAGGGACAGAGGGGATGGGGGAGAGGACCTTAACTAGGTTCCATGTTCATTGCGGAGCCCAAGGTGGGGCTTGATCCCACAACCCTGGGATCACGACCTGAGCCGAAATCAAGAGTTGGTCCCTCAACCTATGGAGCCACCCAGGCGCCCTGAGTTATAGCACTTCTTTATATATTCTGGATAGTAATCCCTTATTAAATGTGAGATTTGCAAATGTTCTCTCCCATTCTGTGGACTACCTTTTTACTCTCTTGATAGTTTTCTTTGCACAAAAGTTAATTTTGATGAAGTTCAGTTTATCCATTTTTTTTTTTTTTTGGGCCTGTGGTTTTGGTATTATTTTGGAGAAATCATCACCAAATCCAGCGTCATAAAAATTTCTACCTATGTTTTCTCCTCAAAGTTTTATAGTTTAACTCTTACACTTGAGGTCTTTGATTTTTGAGTTAGTTTTTGCGTGTTGTATAGTGTTTAACTTTTAAATACTTCTGTAACAATCCTGTTTTGTCTTTAGTATTATGAATATCTCAGAGTTCTTTTGTCAATGACTTTAGTGAGTACATTGGGTTTTAGCTATTAGCCAGGTGGTAATGATCTGTTTTTTATCTTCCTTTTGCTTTGCTGTTTATTTTCCCCTTTTTCTTTTGAACTTCATGTGGCAGAATTGGGTTACTTACAATCCTTGGTTCATACACAGATTTTTTCATTGGTTCATATGTGTCCTGACTTTGGTTAACCTATTTTCAAGGAGTATGCATCCCTGACCCATTACCCAGGATACTAAAACATTGGCTCTCACTTATTAAATACCCAGCAGGTGAGCAGAAATATGGACCGTAATTTATACGTATCTGTTCTTTATACATGTCATAGTTCCACAGCGTCACTTGTCTTTTGGCACATCTGCTGTTTGGATGCAATTACTTAGAAGGTGTCTCCAAAATGGTTTTCTTACATTGATGCCACTTTTACCGATAGAGCTATTACTTTAAAATGGTCACAGGTTAATACATAACTGTACCCAGAAGTCCCCATAATCCCTTCACT